ATACCTTGTCCAAATAGGACTTCATAAGAGCAAAAGATTTCTTCTTGCAGTATCCATCTGTATTGACTGTCAATGCACAAAGCATACTGCCATCTGTATTTTCTACCATTTCTTCCATTTTTCCCATCAGACCAAGGGTTTGGGGATTTTTTTTTCGTTTATTGTTTTGTAACAGGAGATATTTTCTCACATATTTACTACATGACTTCATAATTTGGCATATATTTACATTCTGTATTTCTACTTTACTGTCATCAGTTTTATTTGCTCTGCCTGACAGAGCACATTCCATTCAGCTCTGTTTGCTAAACGGAAACTTTGAGGCCATATGGGGATTTTTTCTTTTTCTTTTTTTTTTTTCTTTTTTTAAACATTGTTTATTTCCATAACATAACATGTTGGGTATTGCCAAGACTAGGGTTTTAACATCATACCTGTACCTGGAGAAACACTGAAAAAACTATACCACACACATTTTTTAAAATTGTATTTAATTCAGAGATGTATTTTCTCAGGTAGTGCTCACCACCTGTGTTTGTTGGCCACAAATATTTAAATGATTATATTTTATTACAAGGCGTTTAAAAAAGTTATAAACACATAGATTTTAAACAGATAACTGGTTTTAAAGATAAAAGAAGTTGAACCTGCATGCAGGTTCACAGAATCACTCCTGTGATTCTTCTCTTGAAGCACACATACCTCTCCGATGAGGTGGAAGCAGATGCTTCTTGCTCACTGCTAGAACCCCCTCTGCCACTTGTGTCAAACTCCGTCAGTTCTTGCATTCGCTCTTCACAGCAACATCCAGTTTGTATCACATTACATAAAAATACAGCTTTTAGGAAGAACTTCTCAGAGATGAGCACATGCTGCAGCAGCCTTTATTTATGGACTAAGTCCAATTTCCTCTGGCTTCACGGATTACTCCACAAAATTGGCTATGAAAACATAGCTCTGTGGCAGCTTGCTATGCCTTTTTTTTTTTTTCCCAAAACACCAAGATATACTGGAGAAGCTGCATCAACGCCACTGTGAGCATTGGCTTCCTGAATCTGTCTAAAGCATGGTTATGTCTGTTTGGCTGATCATTTTCCTTCACTTCTTTGGATTCCTCTTTTATTCATGCTCATGGCAATTAGTGTTAATTGCCTGGGAGACAAGAGGGACATAAGGATCTGACCACACTACAAATTTAGACAAAGTATTATTTGCCTAGCTGTGACAAGCTTCTCATTATATACCTGAACTAGTTTTAAACTGTCTCTGTGACTAACAGGAAATAGCTGTGGCAATAGAAAGATCAGCGCAGACTGCAAAATTCGTCCTAGACCAAGGCAAATATTTGAGACGTTTTCCACCCTAAGCATTGTGTTGCAGTAATTACAGTTTAAGCTTGTTCAGATCTATCTGCGTGGTATTTGGACATAACCAAGGACCAGGTTTGCAAGACATTTATATATACACTCAACAAAGATGATGACAATGTAATTGAAAATGCGTATTCATCTAAAAAATCTTAAAAGTAGATGCGTGTTCCTGTTAGTGATAGCTCTGGTATTGCCTGTGTTCCCTAGGAAAGGAGAAGAAAAGATGAAGAAAGCCAAGCCAACCTCCTGCTGCTTTTTTCTAAGAAATTCAGTCCCAGTGGCTTCTTTAAGCCAACTTCCTGCTTAAAGTATCTACATCCACAAAGAGATCAGAAGCTGTACACATAACCAAGAACTTGGAATTGAAACAAAGTAGTTTATAATAAGAGGTTGAAAGAAGTGGAGAAAATAAATACAGTCAGTAAATTCACACCCTGGTTTCAGATTGATCCACGACTAAATCAGGTACATTAATTTATTCAATTTGTATTTGGAAAAATCTATATATTTCCCCTGGCATTATTTGTATTAGAGATTTGAAAACCACTGTTCAAGATGCAAAATGAAGCCACAAAATCTGGCATTTTTTTCTCTTCAGTTTTTGAATATCAAGGTACAGCTTTTATGCTATTTTTTTTATATATTACAACAAAAAAATAGCACAGTAAACATAATATTTACTTAAAATAGTGTAAAATTGTAGAGCGATATAAACATGCGGCATTGGTTTTATGTATGTTTATTAAGATAACATTAGCCTAGTTTTGATATCTATTTTCTTAATGTGTGTGCTCCAGCAGAAACAATAAAAATTCGAATAGACTTATACGGGTGAAGAAGTGTAAAGTTAAATATAGCCCTTCCGTACTTGATGACCACTGATAGAACAATGAGTGAAAAACAAGTTTAAAGTTGTTAAGTCTTGTCCTGCTTGCCTTTGTGTGATTAAGTTCAGACTTGTCTGAATTCAGATTACATCCTTTAAGTCAGCTTTTCACAGAACTGAGCTTGCAATAGTTGTTACTACCAAAAAGATTCCTTTGTAGGCTCATTTGCATAGTAGAGCAAAGTTTAAACTGTTGCAAACTTGCTGACTAAACGCAAATAGGTTTCTTCTTTCCTGAAACAAATCTGAAACAACGTATTTTTTTAAATGTCATTTTGACACTATTTTCTTTACATGGTGAACATGTTTTATAAACACAGCTCTTTTACAGTAAACAATTTACTGCAAAATCCAGAAAACAGGGATAAGTGTTACTGTCTCTTTAGGCCCTTAAGGTTTAAGAAGGTCAAGCTGAAAATGTAAACATAAAAACTAACATTATTCAAGTGTTTTAGTCAACACGACTTGTTCATCAAAGTAATAAAACCCTAATAGTTCTGAAGTTAACGTCTTACATTCAATATATACTTATATATACTTAAATATATTCAATATATACTTATATGTCTTAGTGCTTGCTGATTACTTTGCCCTGCACTACGATTACTGTCACTTAATATTATGTCATAGTCAAAACCTCTGGCACCAGACAGTTAAATTAAAATACAGAGATAGCACTATTTTGAAAATATGAAGATCTGACAGAAATGCATGACCTTCCTTTTTTAGCTTTCTATCAGTGCAGTGACACAGCCACCTACTCAGCTACTTAGAGATAAAAAAGAGATCTACAATGTTCCAGAAAGAACAAGAACTGAAAGATGGACACATTCAAAGCCTAAATTAGTCACATTGTCTATTTTGAGGGTAGTCCCATAGGCACTTTGATAATATTACTAAAGAAAAAGAAGCTGGGTCTCTGTGTATCTTCTCATTTGCATCACTCATCCAAAATTTATCCCTAAGTATGAAACTCTCTTCCCACACAAACTTTCTGAATCCACTGCTACCTCTATGGGTGCTTTTCCCAAGCTTCTACAGAATATTTTTAAATTTTGCTATTAAGACCTTCTAGATCTTGCCTACAGTCATTTATTCTTTTGGAAGAGAATTAATCTGTAGAAGTTCAAATATCAAAGTTGCATCTGAATAAATGCTTGCTGAATTGTACTCTAACATTTACAGAGTGAAATGGTATTCGGAAGCTATTAACTAATGCCCAAGTTTGAGTTTCTAGGACAGTGCATTCCACAGAGCTGAGAGGTACATTAAAAAAAAAAAAAAAAAAAAAAAAAAAAAGAGGTTGGGTGACATTTTCAAAATGTGCCATGAACACTTCAGAAAGGGTTTACTTTTGGGAAATTTGTTTTGAGCAGTATAGAAGACATGGAGTTAAACCTATTATTACATGAGTGATCTAAATTCCATTTGCCGTGGAATCTGGTAATACAATTAAGAGATTTTCCTTCTATTTGGTAACAGAAGCACAGTACAGGACTCTGTACATACTATTTCTAAACTCAACATGACCTTTAATAATAATTGTTCCTTTTAAGACAGAATAATTAAACATAGAAACTTTCATTATGTATAGAGGGAGAGGGGAAAAAGGAGGAAATCCTGCTAGGAAACTAATAGCTTTAATCCGTTTGTAGCCCATATGTCTCTGCCAACTTTGTTTCCAAACCGGCAGGGCTTTACACACACAACAAAGTTCTAGGAGAAACAATAAGAAACACAAGAAGCAATAGAGAAGTCCCCCAACATCCCACCTGGGGCTTGTTGGGGTCCCTTTGCTGAGAGCTGCGCTAGGCAGAGGCTGGCTTCAGGAGGCCACCAGGCATCATATATCCACCCCCTCCTGCCTCATCATCCAGCACAGCTTCACTCCCACGCCCGACTGGGGACCAGCCACGGAGCTCTCCCTCCACCTCTCTGCCCTCCTACACGCTGGGACTTAAAACTCAGCTCCCTCAAGACTTTCTCCAGGCTGCCTGCATGAAAGCTCTCACCCCGCAGCTCCAGGCGGCCTCCAAGTAAACCAGCGGCCTGGCGAAAGGCGGCCGCCTGGATGGGATAAAGCTCTGCCACAACAGCGATGGCAAGAAACCGCTTTCTGGAGTGTTCCCCTCTCAGGCCAGCCATGCCCCGTGCTGTGTGCGAGCGGCAGGGAGCTGTGCTCTCAGCATTTTCCAGGTCGCCCCACGCCGCAGCCGCCCAGCCCAGCGTGCGAGAGCCCCGGCGTGACTCATCCCAGCCCTGCTGTGGGCGACCGTGTTTCTCACTGCTTCTGCCCCGCCAGGTCATAAAGCACGCGGGCGTGGAGAGGCTTTATGGGTTTTAGGAAACGTTTATAGGCTTGATGAGACGTTTATGGGGTTTAGGAGACATTTAAGGGGAAAAGGGGAAGGAAATGGCGGCAGCTTGCCCCCCTCTTCTCAGAGTGTTTTGAACTGAGGGCACACCAGCCCAACTGCTTAATACACAGAGAGATGCCACCTAAAGACACCCCCAGGCGCTGCCCTGCTGCCTGTAGGGGCAGCGCAGCGCCCTGCAGCTGCTGGGCCGCCTTTGGGGGCGGCCACAACCCCACAGAGCCACACTCACCCCCCCCCCACTCCCACCCCACCGCTCCCTCAGCGGCCGCAGCCCCGCGCATGCGCGTCACGGAGGCGGGGCGGGGCCGCGGCTCCGAGGGCTCCGCCCCGGGAGGGGGCAGGGCCGCGCTGTGCCGGGGCGGCGGCGGCGGCGGCGGCTCCGGTGGGGCGGGGAAGGGAAGGGGAAGGGACGGGGACAGGGGCGGGGGAGGACCGGCACGGGAAGGGAAGGGTCGGGCTGGGCCGGTGGGGTCGGAGGAGCGGCCAGCATGGAGCACCACCAGCCCGCCAGCCGATACCAAGTGGTGAGCGCCTTGTCCCCGGCGGGGAGGGGGGCGAGCCCTTTCCCCACCCTTTATATTTTATTTTTTTTTAATTAATTAATTAATTATTATTATTTTTTTTCCACCCTATTTTTCTCGGCCGCCTCTCGCTTGGAGGCAGGGGGCTGTGGGTCGCAGGCGGGTGACCTTCAGGCGTTGTGCTCCGTACGGGTTTGCCTCCTGCCCGAGCTGCTGGCACCGCCTGCTTTATTTTCATTATTTTCATAGTTGTTATTATTTTGCAGTTATTGCTTTATGGTCGGTCGTGCCCCTCTGTGGGTCTTGTCACCCGTTATACTTGTCTAGAGCCCTGTGATTGCGGACCAGCCTCGTTTAATATCAGTCGCTCGCAATATAAAAGGTTGTTGGTCGAAAAAGAGGATGTGAGCACAGCCCGTGTCCCCAAAAGTTTCCATTTAATCCCTCGCTTCCTTCTGCTTTATGGCTTTGCTGTGTACATAACTTACGCTGTGAAAGCCTGAAATCTCTGCTCGTAATTCCTGTTTCTTCTATGATTGTTCGCCCAAGTGCTGAATTTATCTTACTGGTTTGTTTTTGTTTTGTTTTTTTCTTTTTTACATATCAAGTATTGAAAATAACGTCGACAGAAGTCATCACGTCCACTTCTGTGCATACATTGTATGTCCGAGGCTTCTTTACACATTTCTCCAGATATAAACGTTGCCTCTGGGTTGCAAGCGATCAGCTTGCTTTACATTTTAATGTAGAAATAAAAGCTGATGTCTATATTCAGGTTCCTCAGTCGTGACGTACAAAACTGTAGCAGCAAATACCTTGTTACAGGTCTGGCATATTTCTGTTGAGAGCTCGGCAAGCGGTGTGGGAGGTTTCTATATGCTCCTGGGTGATGGTACACTGGGACTGCCGTGGAGCTGACGAGCAGACCCAGCAGCCTGTGACTTCTGAGGAGCGTCGTGTGCCTTGCGTACAGCAGCGGGTCCCAAAGCGCTTTGTGGGTCAGTGCTTCTCTTCCTGTGCCACATGACCGTAATTTAGCTAAAGTCAGCAGAAGTCCTGAAGTCATTCCTTCCTTTTTTTTTTTTGGAGAGGAGAATGGGAATGCTGGCAGACTTTTTTTTTTTTAACAGCCTTCAAATGCTGTATCCTCCCCAAGGCCTAAAATAACTTGGGTATGTTTTAAAAGTTAAAAAAAAAAAATAATAATAATTCTGTTACTCAAAGGAGTAGAATAGAACACGGGAGGATGGAACAAAGAAATAATTTGTCGCTAGTGTTTTAAGTTACATCTGTAACTTCCAGCTGTGATGCTGATGCCTAGCTTTGCAGAAATGCTTCTTGGTGTGGCCTTCCGAAAGGGCTGATCTTGATGTTAGACAGTAGGTGTTAGCCCATTCTCTTCCCCATGTATGTTAAATTTTGTGGCCAATTTATGTCACTGAGGTTTTGTTAGAGAAGTGTCTCTGAAGCCTTTGCAATTACAGCACGTTAAGTTCCATTGAATTTATTGTAAGTCATAATGAAAGTGCAATTTTAATCTCTGATGTACTCTGAAGTTTAAAATACCTTTCTAATTACTATCCCATAGGTAAGACCATGTTGTTTCATTTTCTCTCCATTATATCTGACTGTCAGACATCGAGATTTTTGTAATACTTACTGTGTTGGGTCAGAGAATGGAAGGAACCGAGCAATTGCAGATGTACTTAATTAGCACCTGATTATTCAAGCTTGTGATCTTAAGTGTTATGAGGTATTGGCTTATGTAATGTCTGTGATAGGTAGTAGGCAGTAGATTATTGCAGATTTTATGGTCATGTCCTAATCCTTGAGGACAAAATATAGAAATGAAATACTACTTAACGTGGCTAATACTGCATTGGTTTTGTGCATGTACCACTCCCTAGTGCTAAGCTTATGAAATCTGACCAGTTCTGGTATGTTCACTCTACGTCCTTTACTTTTTGCCTTCATGAGTAATAGCAAGAACTCCTTTTTTTTTTTTCTTTTTTTTTCCTCTAGTTCTGCCTTTACTGTTAACTGATCTTTTTATTTTCTTCTTTCTCTATTCAGTGCAAGTTCTCTTCTAAGTAATAACAATTATTGGCTTACGTTTCTGTTCATAGCAGTGACAGTAGGACTTCAGTGAAGTTGAAGGAGCTATCTCACTGCTCTCTCTTCTTGTTTGTGGCTTCTTTAAACAAGTTAAAAGGCTTTAAGAATTATGGGCACTTGAATTTTAAGCTTTTGCACCACAAGCCACTTTTAGCACTTTTAATGAGATAGAATATCTGATCATAAATTTAGCCCTCGTTTTTTCTTATTTTTTTTTCCTGACAAACACTACTAATGCTTCATTCTGCATCCTATTCTTTCTTTTGCATCTGTATTTTATTTAAAAAGCATTTCAAAAATGTTCAAACGATGCAACTGCTAAAAAGCTGCTGTTTGGAATTGCAGCAAAGTAAGTGTTGTAAACGAAGAGTGGGCAGTAAATCAGCATTACGTAACTGTCTGCCGCAGGCATGTGTGACTTGTATTGCTCTCTGCCCCTCCTTTTTTGTCCTCCCTTTATAGGGCAAAAAGACAACTAATTGATGGGTAAGAACTTGTCATGCTTTCCTGCAGGAATATGACATCAGAAATAAATCAGCCAATCTTTGCTGTCTTGCTTTACTTCCTTTTCTTTTTTCCCCCCACTTCTTAGTCATTTACATACTGCAATTCTGTTGGTAAATGACTTAAAACTTCAATCCAGGCATAATCAGTTCAGTTGTTTTCCTTTCTCCTTGCTGTCTTTTTTTTTTTGTTTCGTTTTGTTTGCTTGTTTTCTTCCCCTATTCTGCTTGTTAGTAGACAAGCGGAATGAGGCATCAACTATAGGAAAACGATAATTAAAAATTCTTCAGTGATCACTTTCCTGATTCTTTTTAACTTCTTGCTCTTTGTCATCTGACTTTAATTTGTGCATTGCTATCTTGCTGTCTGAAATGTTTGCTCATAGTCCAACTTGTTTGCAGAAAAAGATGACTCGAATGATGCTTTGTGAATCTCTACTGAAGCAAAGCAAAAGAAAGGCAGCTGTTTTCTGCAGTGCGTAAAACTGAGTGAGCAACCAAGTCCTAAAGCTTGGGATTGCCTTTTTCTGTGAAATGTGGTTTTCCAGGTAACTGTGTCATGAGGGAAGACTTCAAATATATGTGAGTGATCTAGGTGCATAAAACCCATGAAAAGCTCTAGAATTTATATTCTGAACTGCTTAAGAATTATAACTCCCCCCTAGACATTCCTGATGAAAGCTTTAGGTTGTTTTTCTGGGATCTGGTAGCCAGCAATCTTTGATTTGTATGGTAGGTCATATCTATATAGGCGAATGGTAAAATGGCTAGGTAGGTAGAGCCAGAAGCAGCTGTCCACATGGGTGTCAGTTTAGCTGTCACTGGACTTGCTGTTGCCACAGGAGCACCTGGAGTTTGGTGGGGTTTGGGAATGCTGCTGTGATTTGTGAGTGTTGTGCGATGCAAGACTCCCAAGACCTCAGCCTGCTATTGTATGGCACTATATGGGATTAAAGAAACTTTTTTTTTTATAGGTGTGTCAATCTTATATAAAAGTTAAGATGTGTATGCTTTTTAGGAACAGGATGAAGAAATGAAAGTTGCTGCTATAAATACTTCATTCCAGTTAATTCCCCTGCGTAGTGCTACACGTAAATAGTTTTAAAATTATCTCAGATAATGCTTAATGATCTGCATCTCTTCTGTGGTGGGTTGACCTTGGCTGGCTGCCAGCTGCCCACCACGCTGCTCTCACTCTCCCTCCTTGGCAAGGCAGGTGAATGGGAAATGTAGGAAAATAGGATGAGATACCTCATGGACTGAGATAAGGATGGGGAGATCACTCACCAGTTACTGTCACAGGCGAAACAAACTTGATTTGGGGAAGACTAATTTATGGCCAATTAATAAGAGCAGAGCAGTGAGAAATAAAGAGAACACTAAAACTACATTCTCTCTGCCCCCCTTCTTCTAGGCTCAACTTTAATATTAATTCTTCTACCTATTTTACCAGCCACAAGTGGCACAGGGACATGGGGGCTGCAGTCAGAACTTTGTCACTGCCACTCTTCTCTCCTTTTCCTTCTCTTCTCCTGCTCCAGTGTGGGGTCCAAGTCCTTCAGGAACTTCTCCCACACGGCTCTGTACCATGGGGTCCATCCCCCGGGAGCAAACTGCTCCAGCACGGGTCCCCCACAGGTGGCAGCTCCCCCCAGGCCCCCTGCTCCTCCGTGGGCTCCTCTCCACAGGCTGCAGCTCTGGCCCGGGGCCTGCTCCTGCGGGGGCTCTCCCTGGGCTGCAGCCTCCTCCAGGCCACATCCACCTGCTCCACTGGGGGCTCCTCCACGGGCTGCAGCGTGGAGATCTGCTCCATGTGGGACCCATGGGCTGCAGGGGGACAGCCTGCTCCACCAGAGGCCTCTCCAAAGGCTGCTTTGGCCATCGGTGGGTCCCTTTTGGAGCTGGCTTGAACTGGTCCCCTCTGACATGAGGGAAAGGGGGGCAGCTCCCAGTCTCAGAGAGAAAACACCCCTGCAGCTTCCTGCTACCAAAACCGTGCCACATAAACTGCACATCTTAACTCCATTGTCATTGACTCTTTCCTCTCACAATGTTATCTGGTTGAACCTTAATCAAAGTCAAATGGTCTTTGTAGGTCTTACATAAACATGAAAGTCAGCCTACACAGGAAATGTGCACAAAGGAAATTTTCTCCTTCCTTTCTTTTCATGGGACTAAGTAGTGACTGGCAAATAAATAAAACCAAACATTGATTATTCAGCATCTTTAAAATGAGAACTCTAGCCTATATCTAACATTTATTGTCTTTGGAGCGCTCTTATGTAATTGGTATTACCAAACAGATTGAGCCGGTTTACATTAGGGAGACTTCTGTTGCTTTCCACAGATCTGATTGTGAAGTCAGACCTGGAGATAAGATGTTGC